TCGTTAAATTCATTTACTATTACCTTTTGTCGTGTCTTCATATAGGCGTGATTGTGATATTGTCTTGTATTTAATTCAACGGATCGAATTAAAAGTTAATCGTTTAAGTTTACAGATACCAAGACAACACTGTAGTCTCGATGTAAAGACATTTTGCGATGCTATAGACACAAGATATAGTAAATATAAGATTCAAGTGTAATTACAATTGAAAACCGCACATCTTTGAACGCACAAGGGTCAGTGGGCAATTTATTTAGTGAGAAATATCAATACCCTAAGTTTCGATTTTGATTTTTAATATGTTTATTTCTTATTATCGTTTCAATTATTATAGACCGTCGAAACTTAAGGGTTTAATCCTGCAAACTTTATCATCAGTGCTCGTGCAAAGCGATTAAAACGGAGCCTAAGGTAGGCGATAACGAGTTATTGTTCAAATTGCTGGCTAAACCAGTTAATACAATTCATTAAAGAGCGAGCACATATAAATAATTATTCAAATCGTCAAGTACCTTTCGTTGAAGAAAAGTGACATTGTATATGTACTCCTTTATAGAACTCGTATGGTGTGCTCAGTTGTTGAATAATTGCTAATTATAGCCTCTTATTTTAAGCGTAAACTATATCATTTCGTTGCAAAATAACAGGAGAAATTGATGCCTCTAGACTATAAATGAAGTTGAAAATATAATTTCCTCACTGTAGAAGTTGAACTGGTTTGAAATTCTTAAAATGCTTGATCCTGATTTTCTTCGCGACCTACATAAAGGTTTAACTTATCAATGAATGATTAATCTCTGTGCCAATAACAGCTGGCTAGTAATTTTAGATCAGGCTATCAGGCTATCCAATTATGATTCCAATACGAGTGTAATACAATCTTAACCTTTATCACAATTAGACCTATGAAAACTCGAGGAAGGTTTATAGTTAATGAATTTAAAAGAATCCTTTATTTAATAATGAACGTCAGATAAAACCCTGTCTCGAATTGTTCTACAACCAGAGGAAAGATACGAGATATTTATACAAAATCAATTACTAATCTGATAAACAGATGATAAATCAATCTATTCTGCAACTTTTAACAAATAAGATAAAATATTTTATCGATTAGGCTTCATTAGATATCACGTGACATTATTATTGTATTTATAACGTTAATTCTTGGAATTAATATCTTTTTATTTTTTACGATACATTATTTTATATTAATAATAAAAATTAAGAGTATTAGAATCATTTTTAAAATAAAATTATTACGTTTTAATACTCTAAAACCATATATTAACAATAATATAATTAGTCAAATTTTTGTAATTTTGTTTTAAACGTAAATATCTATCAAAGAGTATTTAACATGTATTTAGTAACTACTATTATATTTGCGAAATTGTTAGTTTACCTAACTTGAAAAAGCGATGGGTTTGACAAATTTGAATTGAAGTATATTTTGATCTTCTGACCGATAATGCATCAGATAATCATGTACATGTGAAGGTCAGGAGGTCAATAATTTATTTCCCCGATTAGGGAATGCAATCACCCTTTCTGTATGACCAAAGATAAACTAAAATAAGTATTCTTTTCCCAAGGGAAAAAAAATTACAATATGGACGGAACAACGCTTTTTCGTTGTTTAAGAATTTTTCAAATCATATTAACACTTATTATCTATTTTTTCGGTATATAAAAAATACACTTTTATAAAAACTTCGCACGTTTCTAAATGTTTAATAATTTATTTATTTTATTTATTTATTAAAAAAGAAAAATATAGGAATGATTTGAATTATTATTGTAATGGATATATTGAAAGGTGTGATAAACTCGTTTTTCCTTTATTTTTTTTTTTTATTAAAAATTATATACATTATACGCCAAAATAAACTTAATTCATTTTTATCATTTATTTAGAACTATAATTGATGAATTTTATCTTCCCATTTTACTTGTCATATTCGTCTCATTAGGTAAAGTTTTTCCGAAGTTCACTTTGTAATTGCACATCTGTATTCATAGAGAAGCCTAATCCTTTCGTTTGATAGTATACAATTTATTCATAACCGAGAAACTTCGACATCTATCATCCAGTGAATCTCAAGATGATGCTCCCAATGCATTGGAAATTCAACGATTTTTGAATCAATTTATGGGATTATTAACATCATATAATAATCATCTTGACTTGTATGTACATTTATTAGAATCTTTTTATACATAAATATACGATATTTTTAAAAAAAAAAAAAAAATTTTTTTATTAGGATATTATTGGTCGGTTGGTCCATCATAGGTAAAGCAACATAATATAAATTTTTTTTTTTCTTTCTGACAATTCAACGTGCCGTTATAATTTAAATATTGATATTTATAATGTTATAGTTTTCTCAAATAACCACGTATTATTTAGAAGTTGGGAAGTTGTACGTTATGAAAGTAGTGTTTACAATATAGCGTCACATGTATTCTTTTGCGAGAATTATATAATTAGCTATATTTTATGTTTAATCATGTATCTTTCGTGTATAGTTAGATATATTACAAAACGTTATGATAATAACGATAATTCTCTTCGAGGGGATGTAGATTGTGAGGCGCAGCCACTGTTAGATGAATATATTGAGACTATTGATGTATTGGATGCGGAAGAGATCGACGTCAATGCAAAATTGATCGATGTTGGCGAAGAGGAGTCTGTATGCCAAAGTAATTGAAGCTGACGTGAAGTTGTTGGAGGAATTAATGCACGAGAATGCATGTGTATTTAATCTGTCAAATTTTATAATTGCGCAACGAAATATGAATTGCAAATTATTTTTTTTTGTAAATTAAAAAAAGCCCGCAAAATTGGGATATAATTATACAATTTATTTATTTGCAAATTATATTATTGATTGATTGATTCTGGTGATATTCATAGAGAAGGAACAGGATAACTAGCTAAATCAGCTGTCTTTTATTTTTTAATTTAAATTTCTATTTCTTGGAATTTTAAATTAGACCCTTTTACTTGGAAGAATAGGCATCCTATGCATTATCGCTATTTATTATCCTTATTCTTAAAAATCTTTGATGATTATACAGGAAAGATAAGGAAGTCTAAAACAAGGGCTTTAGATCATGAACGTTTTAAAGTTTGGATTTTAATGAAGAACTCACGTAAAATAAACAAATGATGATAATTTCTGTGAATCACAATTAGGGGAAAAAATTTTCTTATTAACGTGTAACCTTTCAATTATAAAATTCGTTTCACAAAAATTGAATGTCGGCATTTCATCTTTCTCCTTTTTTTGGATCCGATTATTTTCCAAAAAAAAATTTAACAAAGGTTTAATGTTACACGATTTTAAGCCTTCTTTTAATACTTTGTATAAATCCTCTTTATTTATAATTCCTTTTATTTGTAAAGTGTAAATTTAAAATTTATAAGAATTAGAATAAATGTAATGAATAGAACGTAATTTGATTTGTTTATTGATAGGAACAATTGAACAATTAATTAAGAAATCCAATTGAATTTGAAAAATTTTTATAAAAAACGCTTTAAGTTATTCACCATGTGTAATAAAAAAAAGATTCGATCAATATGACTCGATTTTAGAATAAAAAAGGCTTTTTTTTTTTAAAAAAAAAAAGAAAATGTTGGATGATCACAAATTATTTTAACTATTTGTAAATTTCATTATAAATAAAAAAATCTCAGATTACTTCAAATTGGATTGGATGCAAAGTCAATACAATAAAGAATCCGTATTACGTTACACCATTTACATATCGTTCACAATCGATATAAATATAAATTTGTTGGAAAAAAAATTTATGTTTAATATGATGCACAAAGTAATTATCATGAACGAAAAATCCTTTGATAAATTTACCAAAACCAAAAAACGTCTTGATCATTTATATTTATGCAAACTAATTATCATAAGATACTTACAGTGGTATACAACTTACAAATTTGCATACCTTTTAAGATCAATAAGGTAGGATTAAGTAATGGTATAAAAATTTGCACAAAGATTTTAGACACGTGAACTCAAATTCTATTGTCCATGTAATTACCCAGCGATAGCATTCATAAATTTTGTGCAAAATGTTACACTTGTTGGAAACAAGTCAAATTAATGCGGCCTACGTTCAGATTTGGCTATGGACGAGCGAAATCATATTTTAAAAAATCTATTCCGTGGAAGTATTCATTTGATAAATGTTTGTTCTGCAAGTTGGACTTAAAATCTATATCAGAATGTACGAAATTGTGTCCTGATTGTTATATTGGATGCAGATATTGCTTGGCATTAAATCTTACGGATCAATCAATATGCAGAAAATACATGAGAAAATTATTTGATGATGATAAAAAGAGTTATTATGTAAATTATGACATCGATGAGTTTTTCTTTGAAATAAAGTCTAATAATCTTAAATTTTATGACTTTAAACGAAAAAAATATTTAAACTCGTTTTTCGATTATAAGTCTATTGAAACAAGTTATATAATTAAACGCACGGCATTGGAATGGATACCATTTGATCAACTTCAAAATCTAAAAAAAATAGCGCAAGGTGGATTTAGTATTATTTATCAAGCAACTTGGCTAAACGATAACAAACAAGGTATCGTAGCTATCAAAAGTTTTTCGGATTCACAAAGAGATATTAGCAAATACTTCCTGAATGAGGTATTACTTTTAACTCGATGCTTTCATTATTTTTTTTTTTTTTTTAATCGAATAATTTATTAAATGAATCGCTCAATTTTTTAAAAATTATAGTTAAAATCATATAATTATTGTTATAAAAATTACAGCAATATTTTACAACATTATGGAATCACAAAAAGTTCAGTTACAAATGAATATATGATTGTAATGCAATATGCAAATAATGGAAATTTACATGAGTATTTACAAAAAAATTTCGCAGGAATCATATGGAAAAAAAAATTAGAAATGATTTTCCAAATTACATATGGGTATTTATATTTTATATGCATTAATCATGTTCTTTCTTTATTAATAATTTATTAAGATTAATTAAACATTGCACCTTCTTTTTAGGCTTAAAACAATTCATGATGCAAATTTTATACATCGAGATCTTCATAGCGGAAATATATTAATGTTAAATCATGAATGTCAAATTGGGGATTTAGGATTATCACAACCTGCAAACAATACTTTACCAAATAATGAAATATATGGAGTAATTCCTTATATCGCGCCAGAAATATTTATTAGTGCTTCATTTTCAAAAGCTTCTGACATTTATAGTTTAGGAATGATTATGTGGGAATTTACAACTGGTTGTAAGCCTTTTGCTAATGTTGAACATAATACTGACCTTATTATTGAAATTGTCGATGGAAAACGACCTAATATTACAAGTGATACTCCTGAATGTTTTGCTAATTTAATGAAAAGATGTTGGCATCCCGATCCTTTAAAAAGGCCTTCTATAACTGAAATTCATGAAATATTTAGTAATTGGGTTTATAAAAATAAAAATACAGAACAATTTAATCAAGCCGAACAAAAAAGATTGGATTCAGGATCGCTTGAAAATTCTCATACGGAAGCAATTTATACAAGTAGAACATTAAGTTCTGGATTTTCATCTATTAATTCAGATATATCACTTAATATTAACAACGGTAAGCATATACAAAAAAAAAAGGTATATTATTTGAAGATAAAATTAATGTAAGAATTCCGTTAATAAATCAACTTTTTTTTTTTTAGATTATATAACAAAAGAATACGAGTTTGATACACATCCTATGTAGATCACCATTTTATTTAAATAACGATAATGTCTTAATTAATCCCTTAATACCATTTAGCTTAAAAAAATTTCTTAACCCAATTATAGTCTAAATTAGAATTTGACGATTGAATTGGACACGATTAGTGTGGTGGTGTAACGTAACGTAATTATACATTGGATTCAAATGAATCTATTTGGATCGACTTTTTACGCATTGTGTGCAACAATGTCAATTACTTAAAACATGGAAGACTTCTTAGAAAATTTTAAAATAAAAAAATAAAATAATAAAATTTTTATTTTTATCTTTTTCTAAAATGTTTACAGAAACAACAATTTCAAAAGAAATGAATTTTCCTTATGATCAAAAAAGCAATATTTGCTTTTTCTGTGGAGAACTATATATTAAGTTTGAAAAAAACATTATTTATTGCAGATCATGCTTTTTGAAAATATGGACGGAAATAATTTGGTAAGAATAAAAAGAATAATGAATGGTTTGGTTTGCTTCGAACTTTTTATGTAAGAAAATAAAATTCAAAATTTTTTTTTCCTAACCAGTGTCAAAATTTTTAAAACTCTTTTCGATTTTAAATGGATAGAATCGTTATATAACATACGTATTCCAGTTCTTTACTTACCATGGCGGGATACTTTTGATACATGTTTAGTTTGCAAACTTGATTTAAAATTAATATCTGACCGTCAGAAATGGTGTTCAGATTGTTATATAATATATGCCGAATGCAGATCTTGTTTAACAATAAACATTATATTTGGACTTACGGATAAATCAAAGTGCAGATTTTGCAAGAGTACAACATCTTTTGATGTTAAAAACAATAATGGAAATTATGACATTGACGAGTTTTTCCATAGTATAAGATTTAATAACCTTAAACATAATGATTTAAATACTACCATAAATAACAATTACGACCCACCAAAACTAATCTTATTTCGTTGTGATATGTCACATATACTTATTACCCATATTGACAACGTTTACGAGTCTATTAAAAAAACATATATGGATCACAAGACAATGGAATGGATACCATATTCTCGACTTAGGGATATTAAAAAAATAGCGCAAGGCGGTTTTAGCAATATTGATCAAGCAACTTGGATAAATGGTAGTAAAAACGAACAAATCACTGTAGCTATCAAAAGTTTTTTCAATCCGCAAGATTTTAGTAAATACTTTTTGAATGAGGTTATTATATATAACATGATGCATTAATTTTTTTTAAAAAAATCTTAAATAGATGTCATATTAATATTTAAAATTTCTCTTTTTATAGTTAAAATCATATCATCATTGTTATAAAGAACATAGCAATATTTTACAATGCTATGGAATGACAAAAGATCCTAACACAAATGAATATATGATAGTAATGCAATATGCAAAAGAGGGAAATTTGCATGAATATTTACAAAAACATTTCGCGGACATTGAATGGAGAAGAAAATTAGAAATTCTTCGCCAAATTTCTTATGGGTATTTAAAATTATGTATATTATTTATGTTCTTTTTTATTAATTTATATACTAATTTATTACTAATTTATTTTTAAGTCTCAAGACAATTCATGATGCAAATTTTATACATCGCGATTTTCATAGTGGAAATGTCTTATTGTCAGATCAAGGATGTCAAATTGGAGATTTAGGATTATCACAACCTGCAAATAATACTTCAATAAATAATGAAATTTATGGAGTAATTCCCTATATCGCGCCAGAAATATTTATAGGTGCTTCATTTTCAAAAGCTTCTGATATTTATAGTATAGGCATGATTTTGTGGGAACTTACAACAGGTTGTAAGCCATTTTCTAATATTGAACATGATCATAAGCTTATTTATGACATTATTGATGGAAAACGACCTAATATTACAAGTGATACTCCTGGATGTTTTGCTAATTTAATGAAA